CCCCCACCGCCCCCACCGCCTCCACAGCCTCCACCGCCTCCACCGCCCCCCACGGCCCCCACGGCCCCCACCGCCCCCACCGCCTCCACCGCCTCCACCGCCTCCACCGCCTCCACCGCCCCCCACCGCCCCCACCGCCCCCACCGCCCCCACCGCCTCCACCGCCTCCACCGCCTCCACCGCCTCCACCGCCCCCCACCGCCCCCACCGCCCCCACCGCCCCCACCGCCTCCACCGCCCCCCACCGCCCCCCACCGCCTCCACCGCCTCCACCGCCTCCACCGCCTCCACCGCCCCCCACCGCCCCCCACCGCCCCCACCGCCCCCACCGCCCCCACCGCCCCCACCGCCTCCACCGCCTCCACCGCCTCCACCGCCTCCACCGCCACCCACCGCCCCCCACCGCCCCGCCTCTCCTCGCCGTCTCCGCTCTCCCCGCGCCTCTCCCCCGCCAGGCCGCCTCTAGGAAACTTCTAGGAACCTTCTCCCCCGCCAGGCCGCCTCTAGGAAACTTCTAGGAACCTTCTCCCCCGCCAGGCCGCCTCTAGGAAACTTCTAGGAACCTTCTCCCCCGCCAGGCCGCCTCTAGGAAACTTCTAGGAACCTTCTCGGAACCTTCTCCCCCGCCAGGCCGCCTCTAGGAAACTTCTAGGAACCTTCTCGGAACCCTCTCCCCCGCCAGGCCGCCTCTAGGAAACTTCTAGGAACCTTCTCGGAACCTTCTCCCCCGCCAGGCCGCCTCCCGATCGACTCGCCAAGTGAGGTGGTGATCCTCAAGCGCTCGGTCGGCCTCAAGAAGGACGAGTACTTTCTGGACCGGAAGCACGTGACCAAGGCCCGCACCCTCGCCCTCACTCTCACCCTCGCCCGCACCCTCGCCCTCGCTCTCACCCTCGCCCACACCCTCGCCCTCGCTCTCACCCTCGCCCCCGCACCCTCGCCCTCACTCTCACCCTCGCCCCCACACCCTCGCCCTCGCTCTCACCCTCGCCCGCACCCTCGCCCTCGCTCTCACCCTCGCCCGCACCCTCGCCCTCACTCTCACCCTCGCCCCCACACCCTCGCCCTCACTCTCACCCTCGCCCGCACGTGACCAAGGTCGAGATCCTCAACTTGCTCGAGTCGGCCGGCTTCTCCCGCTCCAACCCCTACAACATCGTGCCGCAGGCCCCATATCTCCCCAGATCTCCCCAGATCTCCCCATATCTCCCGCTCCAACCCGTACAACATCGTGCCGCAGGCCCCATATCTCCCCATATCTCCCCATATCTCCCCATATCTCCCGCTCCAACCCGTACAACATCGTGCCGCAGGCCCCATATCTCCCCATATCTCCCCATATCTCCCCATATCTCCCCATATCTCCCGCTCCAACCCGTACAACATCGTGCCGCAGGCCCCATCTCTCCCCAGATCTCCCCAGATCTCCCCATCTCTCCCGCTCCAACCCGTACAACATCGTGCCGCAGGCTCTGCTCACCCACGCCGCACCGCGCCTTGCGCACTTTGAACGCCGTGCCTGCCCGTGTGTCCGGGCGTGGAGTCGCGAGGGCTGCCCTGGCCCTTGCCCCACCTCTTCGTGTGTGTGTGTGGAGAAGTGCACCTGACCTGACCTGACCTGACCTGACCCGACCTGACCTGACCTGACCTGACCTGACCTGACCTGACCTGACCTGACCTGACCTGACCTGACCTTCTCACCTCGTCCCGCAGGGCAAGGTGAACCAGCTCACCGCCATGCGCGACGAGCTTCTAGGACCCTTCTAGGAGCCTTCTCGGAACCTTCTCTAGGTGAACCAGCTCACCGCCATGCGCGACGAGCTTCTAGGACCCTTCTAGGAGCCTTCTCGGAACCTTCTCTAGGTGAACCAGCTCGCCGTCATGCGCGACGAGCTTCTAGGACCCTTCTAGGAGCCTTCTCGGAACCTTCTCTAGGTGAACCAGCTCACCGTCATGCGCGACGAGCTTCTAGGACCCTTCTAGGACCCTTCTCGGAACCTTCTCTAGGTGAACCAGCTCACCGTCATGCGCGACGAGCTTCTAGGACCCTTCTAGGACCCTTCTCGGAACCTTCTCTAGGTGAACCAGCTCACCGTCATGCGCGACGAGCAGCGACTTGACTTGCTCAAGCAGGCCTCATATCTCCCCATATCTCCCCATATCTCCCCAGATTTGCTCAAGCAGGCCTGCGACCCAACCGCACCGTACGCACTCTGCGACGCTGCCCCTCCATGCCCATCTCTCCCCCCATCTCTCCCCCCATCTCCCCCCATCTCCCCATTCTGCCCCCTCTCCTCCCGGCCTTCTCTCTCAAAAAGCAGCAAGTGTTGTCTTTCACTCCCCATCTCTCCCCATCTCTCCCCATCTCTCCCCATCTCTCCCCACTCGCCCCATCTCCCCCCACATCTCCCCACATCTCCCCACATCTCCCCCCACATCTCCCCACATCTCCCCACATCTCCCCACATCTCCCCATCTCTCGCACCTCGCCCCATCTCCCCCCTGACGCCCACTGGCCACCTCAGATCCACGCCAGGTCCACCCCAGATGCCCTCGTAGCGCTTCCACCCCCCACCTTCACCGCCACCGCCACCGCCGCCACCTTCACCGCCACCGCCACCGCCGCCACCTTCACCGCCACCGCCACCGCCGCCACCTTCACCGCCACCGCCGTCCTCGCCGCCTCCGCCTCTCCCGCCTCCGCCTCTCCCGCCTCCGCCTCTGCCGCCGCCGCCCTCGCCACCGCCGCCATCGCCGCCACCGCCTACCCCGCCACCCACCGCCCCCTCGCACCCACCCGAGGCAGCGCTCTTCCATCCCCACACGCCGCCAGCGCCCGTGCCGCAGCCGAGGCCTGCCCCGCCCTGCCCAGCCCGCCACGCCGCATCAGCCCTCAGCTCTGCCGCCAGCCGCCTCCTCATCGGCCCCATATCTCCCCATATCTCCCCATATCTCCCCATATCTCCCCATATCTCCCCGCATCTCCTCCTTAGATCGCGGGCACCACGACGTACGACGACCCCATATCTCCCCATATCTCCCCATATCTCCCCAGATCTCCTCCTTAGATCGCGGGCACCACGACGTACGACGACCCCATATCTCCCCAGATCTCCCCATATCTTCCCCTATCTCCTCCTTAGATCGCGGGCACCACGACGTACGACGACCCCATAATTTCCCCAAATCTTCCCATAATCTCCCCCGAATCTCCCCCCTTTAAA